ATATTTTAAAATACAGCATCTTGCTAGGTACTGTATAATAAATAAATAAAAGTGGGCTAAAAAAAGTATTTATCTCCAGGGCAGTTAAATGTTGGTTATCAGTTATTCAGCAAAGCAGAAATGGACATTGACCAAGGCAGAAACCGATAAGCAGTCTGAGCCTCCTCCTGCTCTCCCACATCAGAAGTGAAGACAGAGCTCCAGCAGTATAGTGCTCCAGCTGTATAAATACCCAGGATTATGGAGACTTCTCACAATCCAAGATTTGAAGCCATAATGCTTAACACAGTTGCATTTGGTTCATATAGAGAGCATGCATTTCCTGGAGCTCAAGTGCCCACATGACATCTATCTCTACATGATGACAGACAATTAAACAGAGTAAGAAGATTGAACTCCCCTTCCTCTCACGGATCTAGAGTTATCTCAAACTGAAGTTACCTCCACTTCAATGACAACAGTACTGAAATGATAACAACCAGCTCTTCCGTGTAGAACTTGAGACAAACTCTACTCCTGAACGATCTTCATGTGGTAAACATCAGCAGCACCAGAAGGACAAATGGCTGTGATGACAACCAGCTTAGCCATTGTCTTGGGTGACAGGAATAGCAGCCCAGTGCAGCCCTGCACAGTCTCACTCTTTCATATTATGTTGAGAGGGAATGCAGAGAATGACATTCAGAGAAATTTTTTGCAAGCTGGGTGCCAGGAAGTCTTTTGCACTTGAGAACAAGTTTACAAATTTCCCCCTACCTTCTGTCCTCAGGCCCCTGCCAGCTAGCAAGACAAAATTATCAGCTTGGAGTCTGCATTGCCAGGCTGAACTGCTGGCTGTGACAACCTCACCCCATTTTGAAGCACTCAAAGCCATCCTGGGTATTTCAGCCAACAGAGTGTGATGATTTAGAAGTGCTTAAAACTTGTATTTCACTGATTTTAACACTAAACACCTTGCCTTTTCATTCAGAAACTTTGACCATAAAATCAGAAAGAAGTGCAAATAACTCTTTGTGTAGAGTTATGTTTGAGACAGATAATGTGGAATTACAATTTCATAACTGAAATCTGAAAAAAATACTGATTCATAAATTCTCTGGCAGTTGCTTACTCTAAGGAAATTGGGTTCAATTTTCCTCTCACTGACACTACTCTGAAGTGTCAAGTAACTATTAAAGTCAATGGAGCTATACTTAAATACATCCTCTGGGAACAAATTAGATATACAGTTTTCACACCATGCAAATTTCCAATCTATTTCTACACGATTAATTGTATTTTTGACATCTGCCGATGATCTGTTTGATCCAAAACTACCATCTTTGCAGTGGCTATTACTGCACTCTTACAAACACATCTCAGGCAGGTTTTTCACCTACACCTCATCATTGTGGGAGGCCAGATAGCACAGGCTTCCATGGAATCGGAGCTCCTGAGCCTTTCAACTCTGAAAACCTTTTACTGAAGAAAATGCGCCTTAAATTAATGAAAAGTAGCAGTCGTTCTCTTTCTTCAGCCCATCACTGTCAGGTTTTTTAATATTTTAAAAGGAAAACCAGAAAATTGCAAGTCAAGTCTCAAAACTGTAATTAACAGGAAATGCTTTGGATATTTATAGCTGGCTATTCCCACTTAGCAGGCTATATTAATTTGCTTTTTATTACACCAATCTCTTTTTTGTATGGAAGGAAAAGAGAAAGTTAATCTTGGCATTAATGTTATCAGATACTGGGGAGGGGAACAGTCATAATAACTGCATCTCTGAAGATGGAAGTAATATCCAACACAGCCATGCAAATCCACAGAGCAAATTAAAATCTGCTGGCTACCTTCAGCACGGTGAGGATCTATACTTAGTTACCGTTACGTGCTTATATTGCACAATCTGCAATCCTGGTAAAACACTCAAGAAAGCTTTGTTTTGATTAGGAAGAAACACCCTTTTAAGGGTCTGCATTACTTGGTACTATAGACCGCACCATTACCTTGAAAAACGTCCAAGAGCAAAACCACAATGAACCATCAAATTATTTTCTCTTTTTCCCCCTAAAAGAATTAACTCCAAGACAACTCCTTCCCCCTCCATTTATATTCGTTCTGCCATTACACATCTAATATCCACACTAATCCTTTAGGGAAACGAGAGCATAAATAATAACAGCAGCAACAACAAAACCCAAATGAAACAAACAAAAGACAGAACTAGTCTCAAAGCATCTCCACAGACCTTTCCACCTACACTCTCAACCACCAGCAGCAGAAGAAAAAGAGAAATGCCTGAGATTAATTCTTATCACCAGCTCTGCAGGGCTGTCATGTTAGGGGCTTCTGAAGCAATCTCTTCTGCCTCTTCCACCTGCAGACACTGGAGGTGGCAACAAGGGAAAAAAAAAAAAAAAAGAAAAGTTAAAAGCTTTATCTACCAAACAGCAATTAAATGCAAAGTGGTAGTGCCTGCCTTTACTTGCAACACTTGGCAGCAAGAGCTGAGACTACAGCAGGACAGAGGCTTGCTTTCGAGTTCCTAATTGCTCTCTGCAAGACAGAAGACTGAGCAGTGGCTCTTACCTTAACCCCTTCCTTCTAACCGTATTTCTTGTCCCTCTTAGCTTTGCCATCCTCTGCTGCTTTCTGTCCCCAGCTTTCCCGGCTTGTGCAGCTCACCCCTTCAGCTCAGGCAGCTGGTGGCCTTCCACAGGAGGACAGGCTGTAACCACAGCCCTGCTCCAGACCTGCAATTACGTGTGCTCACAGAAGCTCAGCAGGAGCCTCGAGATGCCTCTACTGAAGGCAAAAACGACCCTGACCTCTGCCACAAGAAGCAATTCAAAGCCACTGCATTGAACACTTCACATTAGCCTAGGTGCTTTCCATATACACCCTAACCCCTTGTCACTAGATCCTGTCTGCATGTTTGGGGTTGTTGTTCTAGGCCAGGCAGGTGAGAGCTGAGGTTTGTCTCACACACCTTGCACTTCATTCCTGAAGCAGATGAATGGGTCTGAGGTTTCATTTGGTCATCAGACAGCTCCTGGGAGTCAGACACCGTGAGGGACAAGTAAATGGAATTACTTCTTTTGGAGTAAACAGACCCAAAATAGCCACGTAGGAGCACTTGTGCTGGGCACTGCTATTAAGAAATCTTGGAGGGAAGTGGCAGCATGATACAAGTCTTACTCAGTGGCAGCTGTCTTATCCCCCAGGAGATATCTGTTAATAAGCAGGACTGCCTGGCTTTGGGAACATTCAGAAACCCACTTGGGATGCATCTGTCCACAGGAGTCCACGGCAAAGGAAGGCAGAACTCCCTGCGAGAGCCAGGCATGGGAATAAGGCTAAACCACAACCACGAAGCTCCAACAGAAATTTTCTTGGACTAACATATCGAGAAGTCAGCCTGCCTCGGTTATCAGCATGTCCACTAGGTTCACACACTTGCACAAACACACACACATTATCTCTTCACAGACAGCTTACTCAGCATCTATACATTAAGATAAACTTAGAGACACTATCACTACTTTGCTGTTATTTCTGAGCAGCACACTCAGGCTTTATACTATCCCTGGCTCCTAATCAGAGGCAAAAAACCTGCTGCATGATGCAATTATATTTCGCTTTCAGAGCACACGTTTCCTTCAGCATTACCGACACGGAAAAATCTAGCTGGAGAGTTACCCTAAGTAAGGCATAGATAAAAATTCTCAGTCTATGCCAAAGTGCCTTTTTATTTGTTTTGTTGGTTTTGTTTGTTTTCCATAACTTCAAAACCATATGGGTAGCTCATATGCCACTTTGGAAAGGTTAAATGAATAGGGGAGTTTTAAACATCTTGAACTTCTTTCATTTAATCTCATCTCCTTTATCATCATTTCTGCAATGACTCCAAAATCCCCCTGGCACTCAGCAAGTGTTCAAAAGGGCAAGAAGTGTTTTAAGACATCACTCCTTGAAAATCAATTGAAACCACGGAACAAATGCCTTACTTCAGCTTGGACAGTTGTTCAGAAATGTTCCTGGGCATGACTCTACTTACAGATTTATAATTTGCTGTGTTCCCAAGAACTAACATAAGCAGCTGGAGAAATGAGATTCATCAGGCTCACACCCCTGCTTCTTATTCTCATGATATCACTTGGCCGTGACCCCTAGGCTGGAGATAAGAGCCCTCATTCAGCCAAAGAATCTAGACGTGCAAGATGACCTGAAGGACCAAATCCTCCAGAATTCATCAGCCAGAAGATGCTAGTTCTATGCCATCTTCCTTTCTCATGCAATTTCTGGCAAACCTGACACTATCTCAGGCAGTTCAGAGAAGCAGAATACCCCACCATGTCCTTCTCTGGATTATCTGTACAGAATTCAGCTTCTAACTATGAAGTCTCATGACCTAATGGATGTCTTAGAGGCAGTTTTGGGGGCTGGGAAGAAGGTTGGGAGGGTGACCAAAAGAAGCATAAGCGACAGAAATATGGTTATTTACAGGTAGGCAAAAACCACTCAAGACCAAGACAGATGCGTTCATGTTTCATATACTAGATAAAAAAAAAAAAGACAAAGCACCTTAAAGAGTTTAACAATTTGAGCTAACAGCTAAACAACTAAAAATCACGTGCATACATAGTCAATTCATTAAAATAAGCCATTACAGCCAAGCATTTCCTAATCAGATAATTAGCAGCCTCTAATGCAATTAAGTTTACACAGCCAGCAAGCATAATTAAAAGACATCACTGAAACAGAACCATTATCAAAGGATAAGGGTCTTTTGTCTGATTTTCATTTTTCTTTAGAAGGCTCTAGCCAAAACTCTATGTCCAAGGGAAACATGTAGATTCCATTTAGATGCTAGATGCATTTCCACAGATGATCAGAGGTTATTTTCAAAGTGTAAGATGAAAAAAAAATCCATGTAAGTGATACAGGAATATTTTAAAGCATTATTATAATTATGCTACTGTACAGTTTTGTCACAGCTGTTGGCTGGATTTACCACCTACCTGCTCTCCCAAAAGCTGGCTCCTACTCTCAGGTCCTACACCAGGGATAGTGCTAGGCTGCAGCTCAGGAAGGTTTAAAAGAGCAGCTCCTCCAGCCATGGGACATGCAAATGCCAGAGATGTGTGTCTAAATAGAGAACACACAACATAAGCCTTGCATTCAGTCCAAAAGAGTTTACCAGCAAGCATCTCCCCACAGTAACAGCACGTGGGATAAGGCAGGCAGTTTCTGCCACTGGACTCGTTGAGCACATCTTTATTCAATACCTGGAACAGGCAAGTAGCTGCCCCTGGGATCCAGAAGAAGCAATGAACTCTGCAGAAAGCCTTAGGGCTTATTAAAGTTTCAAGTCCCGCAGTTTGCTGCTCTTGGCTTTGTCACATGCTCACCACTTCCACTTCCAGTGGAACCTTTGCAAATAAAACCACCAGATCTCTGCTGCCCCTTGAAGCTGAGCTTGCAGTTGGATCCAAGAATACCCCTGGTCACTGTTTTAATGGCTTGTTCTGGATTACATTTCCTTTTTCTTTCTGGACAGGAGATCACATATATTTTCAGGCTTTGCTACAAGTGTCCCTCTCATGTGTTGTTTCCCATTGCATTAGCACAACCCGCTTACCTCTGACTGGCACATGAAGAGAGGAACATGCGACAGCCTCCTTGTACAGAAAGTTTTCTTTAAAAGCCAAATCTTGCAAGGTCCCAGGGCAATCCAAAACCTTGTACTGAAGTATAATACCTGTATAATAAAAGTTCCTGAACAGTCCCAGCCTCTTTCATTCAGTAGATTTTTTCTTAATAATAATCTATGTCTGAACTGGAACTCACTTGCATACCATCAAAACGAAGATACGGGGAGATGGATCCTATCCTATCTGCTAAAGCTGCTGGAGAGGAATCTGACCTGTTTTCCAAGCTTTCTTTCCAGGCTTATTCCCTGTAGATACAGGCCCACAAGGTATGATGACCTCTACAAAACACAGAAGCCATGACACCTAGCTTAGAATAGATGCCACACTTGTAGGAGCTGAGGTTGGGTGACTTGCACACTCTGCTCTGACACAGAAGGACTCAGAGACTGAATTAGGGCAACTGGGTGAAAGCACCTGTGCTACAGAGGAAAAGCTGTGAATTTGTACAGGTATCTTTGCACTGTGATAAATAAACGTGGCTGTTGCCTTGCCTATTTGTGCAAAAATAGTAATACAATTTTTACTCTATTGAAATATGGAGATTTATTTACAGTCACTTAGAATTGAATCAGGTCCAGCTGCCACCTGTGATAGTGCAATTTAAAGCTGCAGTACTCTGTGCAATGCAAAAGGAAATAAAAGGGACCTCGATAAATATGCCGTGCTCAAAAGGAACCACAAAAGCCATGAATTTGCCACCAGAGGAAGGAGAACTTCATGAAAAAAATAAATAAAAATCACTGGTTTTAGCATTTGCAAGTCACTCAACACCAACAACCAGGTTTAGCAAACCCAAAAGAGGCGAGTTCAACTGATGGACAGTGTCACATTTTAAGACTGTTTTGTCACACGTGTAACCAAAGAACTAAAAAGAAACAAAGAAAATTGCATGGCAGCCACAGCAAGACACGGGACAAAAGCTGATGTGACTAGAACATCTGTGAACTTTTAAACTTACACAAAAATAAAATAAATTCAGCAACACGTGATGACATTTCATAACTTTCAAATACTTTTTAATGTAGGGTCTTTAAAACTTGAAAGGTTTTAAAGAGATATGTCATGCAAACCCTGAGACATACAGACACCCTATTCATTTCTCACTGCAGGCTGGCACAAAAGGCTGTCTGCATGGAGGCTCCCTCTTCGTTGACTAAGTTAATCATCTTTTCTTCCCCATAAAATAAATATCTATAGTTAGACCTGAGAAATCTCAACAGCACAACAGCAATCCTACTTTACACTGTGAGTAGAAAATATAAGCGCTATTTACCTTTTTTTTGGTATAATTAGAGCCCTTATGAATGGAGGGTAGAATAGTATGATGATGTAAAGCAAGCACCCAAGCCTTTGTCCAGTTGATGGTTTCCTTTAACACCATGCTGACTGCAAATCACAAGCAAAGCTCCTCTGACCACTTACCAGCGTCACGGGACAGCATGTGTGCTCTCATCAGCTCTCTCATCACTTATTACATGTCCCACTGCTGAGTGCAGAGAAAGCAGTGATTCATCTTGCAAAAGCTGACATCTTTCTTCCCAGAAAGGGAGCTTGATCTAATGCAGCTTCACAGGCCTGGAGGCTTTCTGGTCCCCTCAGGTAGGCCTCGTATGCTTAAGAGAAAAACAGAGCTGATGGAACAACCGGGGTCTCAGGAAACTGGCTGGGATAGTTAAAAAGAGCAGGGGCCCACACTCTGTGCTATTTCTTTATCTGGGAGTTCTTTGCTAAACTTTTTCACCTGAAACCATTGAACCTTGAAAGAACGAGCAGATCAGATGTGCGTGAGTATGACAGACCTTATGTGCCTTCACCAGCACCACCCCCATTTTTACAGGCAAAGACACACATCGGATAGAAAATATCCAACCTCAACTCAAGATTAAATAAAGAGATTGCAGGGAAAAGAAACCAGCCACGCAGGACAAGAGAGCAAGCTGTCCAGCACTCAATGGGAATGGAGGCTTTCTTCCCATTTCCTCCTGCCTGCGAAGGGAACGCGTGGGTTTTTGAAGCGCTTCCCCTCTTTCAGCTTTCTTTCCATTGGCCTCCTCAGGACAAAATCCCAAGCAATGAGGAGGTGGAGCAGTCCTCCCTTCCGTTATCCATTAACACACCGATTTTCTGAGCCATTATTTCCCGTACAGCTTTCTCATTTTGCAGCCTGCTGCACACAGTGATAGTGTTTTACATTTTTCCGTGCTGCCGGAGCAGTGGCATTTACTACTGCTTTCTAATTACCTCTTTCCGCCAAGCAGCGTTCTCTCGCCTTACACAGCACAACCTCCTACCGAATAAAGACCTCTTTGAAGTCCAGCTCCTGACTTCTCCCAAAGAGTTCCACAAAATCCTGTTATTCCTCGCCGGAGTATACAGCAACTAATGCTGGTAGCAGACTTCTGATATTGATCTTCTCTGTCTAGTTAAATTTGTGAGTAATAGCCCGTAAATTTAAGATTTTAATGGGTAGAAGTCAGCTCTCTGCATACTGTACTTGGTTTCTTGTCTTTTCTCTCATCTAGCAAAGCATCTGACAAGGGATTTTTAAGTTTGTTTTTTTTAAAGTATTTTTCTGCTTGAGCTCAGCATATGGCAAACTTCGAAACAGGAGCCGAAGTTTCATGTAAGGAAGTGTAAGCAATGTTTCAAACACATGTTATGTCAACACCTTTCTCTGTCTCGGCAAACCTGGGAGAAAGCACTCAATGCAAATCATCCCTCGAGCTGCTCTCAGAACTTTAACATGTTGACTTCAGTGCAGGCTTCCTCAGGTTTGTAAATACAGATTTATTATTCTGTGTGTGCTTCAGAGCGAGTGTGCCCACACACCTGCTAAATAAATACTGCTGTTCCCTCTCAGACAAACACAGAGATTAAAATTATTTGTTTCATCCAAAAGGATCACAGAAGCCTGCATGACTGATTACCCTCTACACATTCAAATCCCCCTCCCTTTTTTTCTTTTATATAGGTATATATAATTTTTTTTTTAATATATATATATATATATATATATATAATATGTAAATAAATATATAAATATATGGAGCTCTGTAGCCTAAGGGCAGCAGGATCTTTTACCTACCAAGATTTTGCTCACACATCTTTCCCCATCAGACAGGGGATTCTGAGGTTCCCAAGCAAAATAAACTGTTTTGTTCTGTCTTATTCACAGCAGTGTGTGTGACCCACACAATTCATAGGAAATTAGTTTCAGGTCAGAAAAAAAAAAGGAAAAGAAGGCAAGGTTAGGAGAAGGATGGACACCAGGACTCTGTTTTAAGCTTAGACTGGTCCTAGCAAAGAGTTAAATGTGATTTCTAAACCCCATCCAGACTTCCCTTATGGCAGAGTGGGAGAATGTGCTGCATTATAAACAAACTTTTGCTGCAAGCCCAGGGCCCCTGCAGGCTACCCTGTTAATAACAAGTAGCCTGAACTATGCAGCCTGGTTTCCTACCGTGTGCTCTGGTAACAGATTCTCCAGTGCCTAATTAGAGTGGCTGAGCTCCTGCTGCCCTCTTTGCCACTGCGGAGGCATCAATTTGGATGTCATTCTCCTCCACCCCATCACAAGCTCTCAGGTATGCTTTAGGAACATTTTATTTTACAATCCCTGCCCTTCAGCCAACTTTTGTTCTAAGCAGCGAGTAAATGCAAATGCTGCTGAGAGGAAGCAGAGAGGCAAGCAGCCCTCCTAGCCCCGTGAACTTTGTGTCCTTGCAAAACCTGCCTGACATCTTCTGCTTTCACAGCAGTCCATGGCCCTGGTGGTACCAATTGCTGAACGTGTAAGACATTGGTGAGGATGTTCTTCTGTGGCTCGAGGAGCAGACGGGCACATGCTGCCATGATGCATTTGTCATCGGGTAGAAATGGATCACGGGCTGCACAAGAACCATTACTCCTATTATCATTTCAAATCCCCTGCAGCTCCATGCAACAAACTGCACGTGCAGTAGTCCACTGAAAACTGAGATCTTCTGCTTGAAAATGCCTTAACACCATGCTTTTCACAGAAATACTGTTTGATGTGGCCACCAGTCAAGGCTTGCAGTTCCCAAAGAGGAGAGCTCCAACAAACTTGGAGCTGATTTTTTGAGTTTTTCCCTCTCTGGCCAATCTTCCCCTTCCCCACCCCAAGTCCAAAAAGTTTACCTGTAGCTCTCTGACTAATCAGAGGAATGAAGCCTGCTGCACGCACACACCTTGAAAGCTCACTTCAGTTCGGATAGAGAAACACCACTGCAAGCCTACTGAGTAGGCTCCTCTGGCTGTTTCTGGGTTAGAGTTATTAATTTATAACTTAGGGTTTCAACTTAATGAATTGCTGTGGTACAGTTAAAAGGGTACTTTGTGATGGTCATAACTTCACATCCACAAAGTGTTCGTCTCCTGCCAATAAATATAAATTGCTCTATCACTGCAGACATTGTCAGGAAATGAACAGGAGATGATCAAATTGACTTGCTTTGCTCTTTTCCCCTGCAGCTGCATGTGGTATCCATTCAAAAAGTAAACAAACAAGAGTACAAACTGGTTTGATTGAATTACCTGTGATTGGAAGGATGTGCCTTTAGCCCTCCAGCTCAGCGCTGCCCAGCTGCTTTAATTGCAGCCAGTGGAAAAACTCCCTTTGATTTTAATGGGAAGTAGCACAACACTGATGCTGTGCAAATCTTGTCCTGGATATTGTAATATAGCGACTGCAAATCATTTGTGATCTCCATATTCAATACCAGGGACCGTGCTACGTAACGCAGACTTTCATGACACGTTTACTATGCCCAAGTACCAACATTATATTTACAGTCCATGAGTTTCTGTTAACCTCTCTAAGTTATATGACACAAAATCATTATTTAGAAATCACACAGCAATTTGACACGGGTAGGAGGGGGCCCAGTGTCCGCCTAATGATCTCAAACAGCATGAACAAGGCTAGATGAATAGGGATCGTTAGCCTATTATTTACACAGCATTTCTCAAAGCACCACAGAACTCTACCAAGTAAATGAAGAACATAGGCTGCAACACAAGGAAAGGGGAAATAATGAGTTTGGGGAAGAAATTTAAATTATTCACAGAAATCTCAATCCTGCTTCCTGCGGAGAGCACCAATTACTACTGCTTTACATGCACACAGCACACATATTCCCGTACTGAAACAAAACACAACTCTCTAAATCTTTGCCATCTTCCTTGTTTAATAATACCTTACTCTGTAACACCTCAATACGTCCTCAAAATTACCGGTACGCTGAATCGCATGGCTGGGCAGGAATTCAGACTTCAAAAGGGAGATTTAGCCTGTGAGATGATCTCAGTGCTTTGCAAATAAAGACATTCTGGAGTAGGAAGACGTGTCAGTGGTCTATAAAAACTCTTTTTGCATAATACATCCCCCCCAAGTGAAACAGACTTCTGAAATCAAAAAGAGGATGTTATTTACCTATTTTGGACTACAGCCTGCAAGTTTATAATGCTGAATTGTAAGAAAATTGTTTCCAGCTGTCTGCAGGAACTGTTGAGTCTTGGTGGAAAACTCAAAAAAGAAAGGACAAACACACACTGTCCTCAGGTCCCTTGCCCTGAGATCGCTGCTGCCAAGCTAGCCAGTAGGTAGTGTAGCTTGCTTGTCCTCCAATGCTTCGTGGTAGGAGTGATGAATGCCTACTCCCTGTGCCATGTGCCAGGGAGAACGATGCTAAGAAGAAAGTCTGATGAGCAATTTAGCAGATGCACAAGTAAAGGAGGGCCTCCCTGCCAGGAAGGGGACGTACAGACCTAGCAGGGCCTCGGTGCTCCTGCAGTAGGTACCTGGCCTCAAGGTGTGAGCCAAGATCGAAGCAAGAACAGAAAGAAACAAGCAAAGCCTTGAAAGCTGTGCCTCCTAGCAAGGGCTCTGCTAGTAATTTATTTATTTATCTATTTATTAGGGGGTTCTTGGACTGGAAACCTCTGACTATGTTGGATTGTGATGACATTTCTATTTCTGACAGCCCAGGAACACTGTGATTTTACAAAACAAAAACCACTATGTTTTTTTCAAAAAAAACAAAGAAACAAAAACAAAACAAAGAAAAAAAAAACCAACACTATCTACAACAGCTAATTTAGTTGCCTTAGTTCAGCTTCACACTTAACACAGCGCCGAATACAGCAGGTATTGTCTGTAGGAGACATCCTAAAGAGCCTGCAAGCTGAGCAGACACAGCAAGAGGCTGTCTGGGACCCGTCATGTCAAGATGCCCTGTTGCAATACATCAGCCCAGTTCCCAGTCCCTTCGCTCCTGGTGGCTGTGATAATGGTATCAGCGATGCAGCAGTGACATCGACAAAGGAGAGGTAACCTGCCCAGTATAGGGAGGAATGTTAATTACAGGTAAAGTTTTGAGCATCTAAATAAAGCTGAGCATGTGCTTTGTGGTCACAGCCGTAATACAACGCCCATCCTCATCTCTCATAAAGAGCCTGAGCACTTTTTCTCTCCGAAATGTACCAAAGACTATAAAATGAGGTGCTAGAACACTTAACTGCTAGCGCCCAAGCAAACAATATTATTACAGTGTATATAAAAGTCTCCTGGGGGATAGGTTGGGCATAAAAATTCAGCTGGATCATTAGGAGCCGATGATTTAACTGAGAAAGCAATATAAGTCTCCAAGTTGGCAAGAGAAAAACATAAACTGAGTTGGAGAAATTATTTAAGGACTAGCAGACCAATAAGGGGGGTATTTCAATGCACTGCAAGATGCTCTGTATTATAGGAAAACTGCAAGCTGTTAGGGTTTCGCAGCTAATTCTTGTCATGCCAGTGACATTAGTATTTTTTATAAAAATCCCGAGACAAACAAGCATGAGCAAGAGTCAGAGGAAGCCAGGAGCTCCGAGTACTGACCCTCCCTCTGCTCTCAGCCAGAGCGGGCAGCTTTGGGGCCCACAAATGCTGTACACAATTTTATACGTGTGGGAAACAACCTCCTTGCACTCCACACAGCCTGAGGATGCCAAGGACACTGCGCTTGGGTGCCAGAAGGCTGCATTCAAGTCACTGGCATGAATGGGATGAAAATTTTTTCTTTGGCTCATGCAGATCAGAGTCCAAAATCTCATTCATTTGCATCCCAGAATATCTGGTTTAACTTCTTGACACAGCTTCCTAGGGTTGGCACCACATGATGGGCTGTCTGCACTCTCAGCCCTCTTCTCCCTAGCCCCAGAAGACACGAGATGCCTCCACCCTTCATCCCCAGCTTCCCAATTCCACTGCTCAGACAAAACTGCTGCTACCGCAGAGCACTGACAGGAGATCTGAAGGAAATGCATCACACCTGGTATGTTTAGGTAAGGTAAAATAAAACCTTAACTTTCTTAAACAGCTGCAGACACCAGACTCTCAGCAAGCTCCCGCTGGCTCTCAAGGAGAGCTGAAGTCCAAATGTCACCAGAAGGCTTTGAGAATGCCATCCCAGAAGCAAACAGCATGTATATAACGTACACAAAAGAAACAGTTTATTTTTCTACTGGTCCATATATCTAAAATCAGCATGAGATGGGAACATTTTTGGCTTCTTTCCATCTTTTCTTTGGCCTGGAGGACTGAGGCAGAAGACACAAACACAGCAGTGAGTTCCTGGGTGGCAAGGCAGTAGAGAACAAACACCCTTGCTGCTGCCTAAAGCAGAGAATGAAAAGGAGCATGCTGCAAAAAATAGGATTGTGTTTGGTCATGAGAGCCAAACCTTGTACCCTGACCTGGCTGCAGAAAGTAGCACTGAAGGCCCTGGGTTTGGAGTGATGCTGTTGGACTTCTGCAAGGCCCTTCTTGAGCCACGTCACTCTCTGCACAAACCTTCCTGATTCACAGCAATGGGAGTCACAGAGAGACAATTAAACATCACCTAGCAATGTCAGCAGGGAGTCTGAAAAACGGCCAGCATCTGTGCACTGAGTCCTGCTGGAGGTGGCTCAAATTCCAGAATCAACTTTTCAGTGAGATGACTGAAAGCAAAATGGGAAAATGGCACCTGACAAGTAGGAAACCTGAGACACGGGATTGTCAGACTGCCATGAGGCAGAGCACAGTCACTTCTGAGCTACATTTTTCCCTGCTCTGGTCAGGAAGGATTCTTGGAAAAAATAAAATGTACCTAAAAAGCTTAAGGGAAAAAAAAATTACATATATATATATATATATATATATATATATATATATATGTATGTATATATATATATATATATATTTATATATTTGATACATATTTAAGGAGTTCTGTGAAATCTTTATTTCTGTCATCTTGATGCTAGCAGAAACACATGGTCTTGTTAACTGAATTATGGTTTAGATTCCCAGAAATCTGTTTTGAAATAGGAAATGTGAGCGCTAGAAAGACCAATAACATTTGTAAGTATACACAACGCAAAATCCATCATCAAAATATTACCAGCACTAACTATGTGACAAATACAGACCTTGCAAAATTGGATTTGAGCATCTCTGTTGTTCATGGACAGTGAGGAGTTGACAAGTTTAAGCAGAAGGGCTTATTTCTGACATGGTCCCTTATGTTAACAGTGTGTGCTTTGGGGTTTGCTCAGTACATGTTCGCAGAGTTACCCTTCTGATTTGTAAGCTTAAAGCATCTCATCATTAATCACTGTACAGTTTTCATTTTCTGCAGAGGATTGAGATTCAGTTTACTGCCACTCAAAATACAGATGAGCTAAAGCAAGAAAAAAAGATGGGCATTTGATTTTTCAATATCAGTGAAGATACTGATATGTGCCTACCTTACAAAAACGTCTTTCTGGATTGGGCTTTCAGGATGTTTGCAGCTTCAGGGATGGGCACACAGCTATTCATCAGAGGTGTGTTCTTCCAAGGAAATTTCCTGGTTGCTGCAATTAAAATTGTTATTAATCAAAATCTCTTCAGTTAAAAAAAAAAAGTTAAGTACTTAAAAAAATATATTTAATATGCTTAAAGGAGTACACAAGAGGAAGTGTCATAGGAAAAAAGGTTACATAAAAAATTCAGAGAAGAGTAATTATGTTTATGTTCATTCAGAACATCCCAAACTGAAAGAACTGTTTAGAAGTGAAATAAAAAATTTTGTTTCAACACTTTGATACAATTTTGCTTACCAAGGTTGAAATGTCTAACACTTCACAGCAATGACTTATCAATATTTGGAAAAATCATTCATTTTCTTGTTTAAAAATCTTAATTAAAATAAACATCAGTTTTCAAGTATATAAGTGGATGTTAAAACTATCTTTAGCTGGAAAACACATTTAAGAAATGAAACACTGTGCTTCTGCTACCCAGTGTAATTTCATCTATGTTTCAAAAATGAATTTGTCTCTGTTCACCCAGTAATGCATGTGTTACTACTGTCACAAACTGGGATCACAGTTAGTATCCCAAAACTCCCATTCAAGAGCAGACCTACTGTTACAGACTTAAAACACAGAATTGTACATGATTCAAGAAGAGAATGTATGAGTAATTGCCCCCCACACACACACTGCAAGGTCCACAGGTTCCTTGGGTTTGTATAACCAAGAGGAAAAAGCAAATTAACTCAGTACCCAACTGGAGTTAAAACCCCTCTACTCAGCTGTTGTTTCCTACGTACCTGGGCTACTCCAGGTACATAGCAATTTCCTTCCTAAAACAGCATTAAATCAGGACTTGCACTACTGAAAGATGATAATGGAAATGTCTTCAAAATAACAGGAAATCTCACACCTGAAGGACATGTCCAGTTATTAGGATTATACTTTGGGATCTTGGGCTCCAGGGAGAACAGGTAATACTTCAGTCCTTGCGTGGTCTGGCTCTGTTCTTATGGTCTGACATCACCACCAATTAGTGAATGAGTTTGAGTGAAATGAGAAGTTATTTCCCTTCTCTTCCTGCTGGATGCAGCCAATAGGTACCAGATTCCAGATTTTGAAAGCGTGTTTATTTTTTTTTCCTTTATAACAAAGGCAAATGCTTTAATTTGGGCTGGATTTTTCACAATTATGCATCTAGTATTCCTATTTTCTTTTGCTTTAGAAAAGCTTAGCAGAAAATAAAATCAAAACATTATTAAGTGTAGTGAATTCTTCCAGTGTAGCTATTACAGCTATCAGGTATTTGCCATTCTGATAGCAAATCAATCATTTTTGCTGCAAGGAAAGATCAGGCATTACTGGTGTGAGGCTGTTGTTGCTGATGATGATACATACTGATGCAGCACAACTAGTTATTTTTATTAAGAAGGAAAAAACTGGCTTGGAGCTTTCCAAATGTTTGGACTGAAGAAAGCACCTACAGAAATAGTGCCACTATTACAGTGTTTACAGACCCCAGTGGGAACGAGCGTGTCATCATGCCAAAGGTTCACTAACAGGGTGAAAGACAGCTTCCCATCTAAAAAGCTGACGGGGCACTGAAAGGGGAAGAAAAAGAAGCACAGACATATATGCTGGTGCCACAGAGAGATGGGCCAGAAGCCAGTAAGCGCTGCTGCCCTACAAATACGCATGACTGTTTTCAAAGCTACTTCAATGAGCTCCTGCTTGCAAGAGGACACAGGAGCTGCCATCTCACTGAAAAGCAATGCATTTTGCAGCATAGAAACTGCAAATAATGAGGGTAAGGAGGAAGTTCAAACAGTTTTAAGCACCCTCTTGGCCCCCTCTCAAAGCTAGAGGGACCAGTATCAGCCAACAGCCCTTGGGGCAAGGCAGCATCTGCCATTTGAAGCTTCCCCGTGGGCAGAGGGATTCACCAGAGCATCTGCAGCACTCGGAGCACGTCCCTTTGATGGTACAGGGAGCATCTCTGGAGCTGGACTGCACCATGGGTTTTTGGACACTTGGTTTGGAGCTTTTAGAAACCCTCAGTGGTCCTGTGGTCTTTTGATACAGTCAACATAAAGCATCCAGATCAAGGCCATGAGACCCAAGCAGTTGCTGTAGGTGGGAGAGTTGAAGGCATAGCTCTGCAGTGCCTGTATCTTATGATGACCTCAAGCCAACTCCACCTGTGTCAAACCAAAAGCCGATGAACCATCAGCTTGTCTCAGTAGCAGTGCTGCTCACCTACGGTAATGTTATAACGCATGCAGCACGTGATCCTGAAATGACAGCACAGATACATTTCCTTCATTCTGTGAAGCATTCCATTATTGACTCATGTTTTCCATATACATTTTAGTCCAGAACAATCATTCTTCAGCTGAGATATCAGAAACCCAAGTAGCCAAGATATCCATGAAATTAAAGTTTATGCCTGCTAGATACACTGTGCTTAGCTTTTCCATGATCCCTGCCTTCCTCCACTGGTGACAGAGATCTCAGATTAAATCCAACAGGATGCACGCCATCCCCACCATTTCCCCTTTGACTATCAAATCACTTGACTCTCAAGTCCAAATAACCCCTTTCCAGACTTGAAGAATCATAATCAATTTGCCCTGCTGGAATTCAAACATGCAGTGCTGGCAGAAATAAGAGGAAAAAATAACTCAAGCTGCATGACAGAAAGCATAATAACCATACAACCACAACGTGTCAATGGGGTGCAGGGGGTGCTGCTCGTTCTCCCACTCATATTTACCACAAGCGTCTCACACCTCTCCATCCTGTTTCGATTAAAACAGTTTTCAGAGCAGTCCTCCTTGCATTTGTAAATGAATCCTTCAAATATACAAATAGCTCACTGATGCCAATAGTCCAGTTATGTGCTTCTCCCCTGTGGGATGCGGAATACTTCCTGAACTCAGAAGCAACCAACAGCCATCATAACACAGACAATAATAATAATAAATAATAATTAAAAATAAACAATATTAAAAAAAAAACAAACCACTAACAACCCACACCACAAGACGGCTCTTTTTCAGGCTGTTGTGGGACTAAACGAAGGATTAGGTAGAATAATAACCTTTTAGAGGGTTAATGGAAAAACAGAATAAGAAGTTCCCCATCAGGAAAGATTAATTGGGTTATGTCCAGATTATACAGCTGATTGCTGGGTAGAAAATAAACGTGCTGACACACGTGCTTGAACATTTCTCCTGTTTTGGCTTCTGGAACTAGATGCAGGCAAGTCTTAAAAATATTTCTACAGTTTTCTAAAGGTTGGATCTCCAGGTCTGAGTACAAGTTCCAGTACTGAGTTCCAGAAATGAGCTGATGAAGACAGAAAATTTAATAACCCAGCTACATGAAATTCTCTTCTGGAGTATATCACTATAAAAAGTATATAAACAAGTAAAGTATATAAACAAGAAGGGTATGGCCCTTCTACAATTCAATTACCTACATCTGCAACTTAGATTGCAATTACATGAACTGCTTGACTGGCACCTAATTCAGGAGGTGCCAGAGTTCAGTTGTTGCCTACCTGACAGCTGAAGCTGTCCTGTTGTAGACTCCTGCGGTATGTCTAGCCAGCACGGTGAGGTGCCTGGTTAGGCTCACCATCCCAAAATGACCTCATCATGCATCAGGAGGTAACGTACATTTCAGAGGTTGGACTCGATGATCTTGAGGTCTCTTCCAACCTAGAAATTCTGTGTGATTCTGTGTGTGATACGTAACAGATAGGTGTGTCACTGAGTTAAATCTCTTTGAGCACTCATCAGAGGCAATGAGCACCTTGGTCATGGTTCTCAAAAACATTCTAAAAGCCATGCACTCTAAGGCACTTACATTCTTTGGATTAATCTTGAAATGCAAGGGAAGACTTGTCCCAGATGTGAGCCCACGTATTTGTACATCCATAAATAATAATAATAATAATAATAATAATAATAATAATAATAATAATAATAAAGTGGTTAGAAGTAGCTCTCTAGGACCTTGCAATTGATCAGCAAAATGGATTCTCCTCTTCCCACTAATTCCAACCACAAAACAAAGAAGCAGAGCTTTACACCAAGTAGCTGTAAGAGGTATGATAGGAAGGATGCCATAAATCCTTCCTGATATAGCCCTGTGCCTTTAGCTATCATACACACAAGGACTCCTTGCCAAAAGTCCAAGATTCCAAATGCTTTTGATGCAAGCAAAATCTCAGTGACTACCAGACACTTAAAACTTAAGGAATCAGCTCTTCACAATAAAATGCCATTTTGCTTTGGAGCTTCTGACTGCAGAACCACTCTGAAAACATTATGAAATGGCTCTGCAATGCTGAGCAAAGAAAACCGACTGGTGGATACCTGTTACTGAGACCCCAAGGGACATTATCAAAATTCATTCCAACAGCTACAGCCTCAGCAGAGAGATCAAGGGTTAAGCAAATGGCCCACAGTCTCACCCAGCTTTCTTTTACAGATAGCTGCACTAGTGCAGCAGCTGTGTTGTCCTCACTTGCACATTGTCTCTGTTGTTTGGACAAAAGCAGGGCTTGAGCCTGTAGGACTGTCATCACATTTTCCTCTAGGAACAGTTTTGTGTAGACTTCTCTCCTCTCTTCTCCTCTTCTCTCCTGATAATACTGCAAGTACTGTTAGTAGGGTATTAATCTATTGTCTGTCATTCACACTCTGCTCCTCTCAATTCAATATACTCTTAACCTTGATGACAGAAACAAGAAGTCAGTCAAGAGTTGCCTGGCTCAAGCGGTGGTCTTAGCCAGCCAGCCTTTGTGAGATGTTTTCCATATGTATGTTAGGACTGAAAGAGTAGAAAAATTAATGACATAGAAGTCTGTGTTGTCCCTTTTAAGCAGCATTCCAAAAAGGCACAGTGACATGCCTCAGAGATGAAGTGATTAGATTATCACTAGAGAATATGGTATTAGTTTGGGGAGTTGTGCAGACATTATTATTTCTTTTATGACAGCAGTTAAAGAACCCATATCATGCACCGTGAGACCTGAGATGGTGATTATACAG